AGGCCTTAACGACGGGGCGGGTTGGCAGGGCGGCGGCGCATGCGCAGCAGGGCGGGGCGGGTTCGCGCCGGCCCGCCAGCCCCGGGGCGGCCGCTGTGAGGAGAAAAGGGTCTGCCGGTCTGTCTGCTGCTATGGAGTCGGGAGAAGAGGAGGAGAAGGAGGAGGAGGAGCGGGTTCCTGTGAGTATGGGGGTCTGCGGTGGGGTTCGGGCAGGCCACCTTTGGGGGCAACGTGGCAGGGAGGTGGTAGCGGCTCTGAGCAGCCCCTCACCCTGCCTCCGGCCTTGTGTGGGGGGTTGTGTGTGACAGGCTGGTTCACTCATGTTGCTCCTTTTCCGCCGGGGAAACTGACCTGATCTCATCTCCTGCCCCGGGAAGGGGCTATCGCTGGCTGATTCTTCTGCCCCAGAAAAAAAGGGGGGATGCAACTGACCTAAGCCCCCCCCCCCCTTCTCCAGCCCCGGAGAAAAGGGAGGCTGTGACCAGTCTGATCCCTTTCCATCCCCTGCATTCTCCCCTGGGAGGAGGGTGGCTGTAACTGGCCTGATTCCTCCTCCTCTCCTGGGAAGAGAGTGTGTGTGTGTAATTGTCCTCTTTCCTTTGTGCCTTATTCTGCCCAGCTGGCTTGGTCACTAACCCTCCTGGGAAGTCAGGGCCAGTGTGGCTGGAGTGGCTCCATGGAGCCATTCATGCCCTAGAAGGGCTCATACATGGCTCTGTGCACTTTGCTGTGTTCCTGTCAATGCTGGAGATGAGGAAGAGATTTCTGGAGGTTGTAGGTGTCCCATCACATCCTGCCACCCCCGTGTTCTGGAATCAACATCTTCCTGAACTTGCCCTTTGTGAGAGCATGGGGAAGCTTCCTTCCTGTGGTGTTGCACTGTTCTGGCATCTGGTCTTAAGTGTCTCACTGTTCTCATGGTGGTTTCCAGAAGTGTAAAGGGCTTATAGCACCTGCACAAGTTCTGACTCTTGCAAATTGTTGGGAGGCATCTTCGTGCAGGGTACATGAACAGCTGATGTTGGACACTTGGGTCTGGAGATGTTTATGGATGTCACATCCACAGTTCCATGTAAGAAAGGTGTAAGAGAAAAACGCAAAATGAAAAGTTACAAGATGGCGATCACTCCAGAGCTTCATCCCAGAGCTCTGAAGGAACTTGGAGGTGCAACAGCCAAGTGACAACCAGTGATAGGTGCCATATCAATTTTTACAAACATTCCCTGCAAAGAACCATGTCTCGGTACAGGTTTCAATCTTATCAGGAAAAATAATAGAAACTAAAACAAAGACTGGAAACAGCCATGTGAATGAAACTGACATGTTAAAGGCAAGTCCGGCCTTAACGAAGATGTGGATATGGGAACTCAAGATAGTGTAGTCTGAATTCGGTTTCCAGAAACCTTCTGCTGAAGGACCTTCACCGTATGTATTCAGGAAGGCTGGTTTGTCACAGGATAGAAGGGACGGTTCTTGCACTACTGTGTATTCTTGTATATATTTAAGTAGAAAGGAAGTTCATTTGAATGCTGATTTACAGACAAATTTCACAGTGAACTTTATGATTCGAACTTGTATGTGACATTATAGACAAGTGAACTTGCCTCCTGGTTCTTGTTTTGCCTTCATGGTATTCATCACAGGTCAGTTGATTTTGATCCTTTTTGGTTGTCAAGTTTTGTTGTTTTACAGTGGCCATTGCTTCCTTCTCTGTGTTTTGCACTGTGGTTTAATTGCTGCTCTGACAACCAGAGCTCAGCTCTGGGAATACCAGGTGGAGCTGAGCCAAGCTTGTTGCTAGTGTACTGCTGCCCTTATGGGTCAAGGGGATGCAGGTGCAGATAGATAGTAGGCCAGGCAGATCTTCTGTCTGTTGTAGTATGGCTGCTTTACACCTTTATTGTATATTTATGTTGCAAGAGACTATTTTAGCTATAATTTCAATTGACAGAGAATAACACTGAAAACCTGTGTTTGTAACTTGTAACATGCAAGGCCGTAGTTTCACGACTGCCATATAAATCAACAAGTCCCAGCTTGCCTGTCAAAAGAAGTGACCTGTGCTGCTGTGTCCTGGTTACTTGTTATTGCTTCTGTGTTGTTTTGTCACCTATTCCAACAGACAGCAAACCAGTGCAGCTAGGCAGTGGACTGTTCATTGTGGTTAAAACTGGCTTAAGAAACATCTACTCAACTCTTACCTCAAGCTTTCTCTTACTGAAGAGAGACTGGGACCGTATCTTCCAGCCAAAGTGCCAGTTTATGATAATTCAAAGACATTATGGAACTTTTGGCATCAGACTGTAAGAGAAGAAATTCTGTAACCAACGTAGTGATGCTTTTTACTGTTTATGCTATTTCTTGTTTTATTGCTGAAGATACTTTGTACGTTTCCTCTCTTTGTTTATTTTTGATTATGAGGATGATTTAAGCCCTGTCCTGCAAACTTTTTTATTCTATGTTTAGCTAAGTGTAAATATTACAATAAAATTCAGGAGGATCAAGCTTTTGGTTCTCATTCTTAAATGCTGCAAATTGATGGCTACATTCCAGAAAGTCCATCATTAATAGCAATTTTTCTTTTTCCTTTTTTAAAGTTAATTATAAACATCAGACTAAGGTACCTACTGACAGAGGTACCTTTATTTCAATGGTAATTTAGTGTGGAAAAGGAATGAGCATTTTCTTAAAACTCAGGGGACAGTACAATACAAATTACAGCCCTTGTAAGTATGATCTAAACAAACAAAAGAAATAATTAAAAATCAGGGGATACTCAGTTCTTTTTCAGTGGTCCAAAGCTGAGAATGTAAAGAAGTAGTTGACATTCTCATTACATAAAAGCATTCAGGAACACTGTTAAGTGTTCATATTGGAGTTATGATTTGGACAGCAAGCAGTTAAGGGATTTTTGCACAGGAATGAAAATAAGATGGCTAAGCTATGTTGTGTGAAACTAAATTTTGTCTTTAGTTGCAATAAGTAGAGAAGAGTTTGATGCCTGGAGGAAAGTTAATAGTTTTGATTATTAGCTGTTAGCTTGCTGAAGTGGCTGTAGCAGTGCTAACATGTTAGGAATTTAGTATGTTCTTGTAATTGGAAATTAGGCTCTCATCTAGGCTCCCTTTCCCACAAGAGGTTCAACCGGATGATCTTTCAAGGTCCCTTCCAACTGAGCTATTTTATGTTTCTATGAAACCCAAAATAATTAGTTCTGAATTAATAGAGGAATCTAGTGTCAGTTGCAACAGAAGGGGATAAATAGTTTCATTTAGATCTTCCTTCTTGCTCCGTGTGCCTAGTAGAAGAGCATGTGTGTGAGAGGTAGTGCCTGGCGTGGTGGAGGCTCAAGAAAGTGACTGCTTCGGTAAACCTGACATAGACCCAGTCCAGCCCTATGGACTTGGGTATCTGAGGGGGTGGTGGAACTGGCTGATGTCACGAAAGGCCCCTTTCTATCATCTTTGAAAGGCTGTGAGGACTGGGAGATATCTGTAATAACTGCAAAAAGGCTGATGTTATGCTCTTTTTCAAGAAGGGCAGGAAAGAGGACCTGAAGAACTACTACCCAGTTAGGCTAGTCAGCTGTTCAAAATCTGACTGGTGGTGTTCCTCCGGGATCAGTCCCTGGGCTAATGCTGTGTGATGTTATCACTGGTGACCCAGGTGGATGGGGTGAATGCACTTGCATTGAGTTTGTGGATGACAGCAAGTTGGAGGGAGTGGTTGATATGCTGGAGGACAGGGCTGCCATTCAGAGGGACCTTGGCAAGCTGGATTAATGGCCCAAGAGGAAGCTCATGAGCTTTAGGTATGAAAAAAGCGGAGTCTTTCTCACTGAGAAAATCCCCATACATCAGTACTGACTGATGGCCCTTCAGAGAAGAGCCTGAGGACCTGGTGGACAGCAAGTTGAATGCGAGTTGACAGTGCACTCTTTGCAGCAATGAAAGCTAGCCACACATTGGGCTGCATTAATAAAAGCATAACTGGCAGATGGAGGGAACTGAATATTCTCTCCTTTTGGCCACAGCTGGATCCTGCCTCCTGTTCTGGGCTGCCAGCACGAGAGAGAGGTCAGCAAAGTGTCCTGAGTCTGGTGGAGGCCACCAAGACTGTCAGGGGGCTGGAGCACTTGGTGCATGAGGAGAAGCTGTGGAGGCTGGGATTGTTTGGCCTGGGGAGGAGGAGGCTGAAGGTGAGGATCTGGCAGTGGTGTTTCCCTGCCAGAAGGAGGGTTTAGAGAAGGCAGAGGAAGAGTCTTCTTGGAGGCGTACGGTGAAAGGACAAGCAGCAGTGGTGATGTGTTACAGTAAGGAGAAATTCTAACTGGAGACCAGGAAATCAGTTTTTCACGAGGAGGGTGGTGAAGTGGTGGAGCAGGGCTGCGCAGAGGTGGCGGAGCCTGCATCCTTGGAAATAGTCACAAGTTGAAAGGATGGGGGCTGAGTAGCCCATTCTAGCCTTGAAGTTAGCCCTGCTTTGAGCAGGAGGTTGGACTAGGTGACCTCCAGAGGTCTCTTCCAACCTCACTTACACTGCAATTACATGAATAAACTTCTGCTTCAGGCATTAAGGTGTATTACTGTAATCAGCTTTCAGATTGCCTTACAATGCCCACAGCTGAGGTGTGACTGGGAACAGAGAGTGCTGTCAGCCTTGGAAGCCTTACTTTCCTAGGAAACCAAGCAAAAAATAGGCAGACTTGTTGCAGATCAGCAATGATTAATTTTCCACTTGTCATTTTAGGATACTCCATAAAGCTATTGATGTTATAAACTTGACAGTGGAAACTACTATTTTTAAGAGACTCAAAATGATGTGCTAGCAATCTTTGCAGTGTCAGTGGATATTGTGTAAATATATGGGTTACCTTTCTGGAATGCTTTCAGCACATCCCCAACAGTTTACTGTGTCATGAATCTTCCCTTGTATTTGAGATCTGCTGCGCTGGTTCTGATCTCTCATGGTCATTTTAAAGCCCAATGTTTGTTTCATGAAAGTAATAAAACAGTTCAGAATTTACACAGTGCCTGATGTACTGGTTGGTGGTGCCTTCATGCCAGGAAGGAATGGTGTGGGTCTGAAAAGTATTGCTAGCATACCAGTCCTTATTGAAAAAAAACAAGGTACAGATTAAATAATTCATGTTTCTCATACCTGACAGCACCAAATCATT